CACCTGTCCACAATGTCGTGTAGTAATCACAGGTAGTTTAATTAGTGGTGGTGTTACAGGTACGCTCCCAGGTGTTGCTCCGTTTGGTTGGGGGTGTGTTGTATTGTGTTGCTATGTTTGGTTGTGTTGGCTGGAGGTGTGCTGTCCTGTGTTTGGTTGTGTTGGCTGGAGGTGTGCTGTGTTTGGTTGGAGGTGTGCTGTGCTGTGTTTGGTTGGAGGTGTGCTGTGCTGTGTTTGGTTGGAGGTGCTGTGCTGTGTTTGGTTGGAGTGTGCTGTGCTGTGTTTGGTTGGAGGTGTGCTGTGCTGTGTTTGATTGGGAGGTGTGCTGTGCTGTTTGGTTGGAGGTGTGGTGTTCTGTGTTTGGTTGGAGGTGTGCTGTGCTGTTTGGTTGGAGGTGTGGTGTTCTGTGTTTGGTTGGAGGGTTGTGCTGTGTTTGGTGAGGTGTGCTGTGTTTGGTTGGAGGTGTGCTGTGCTGTGTTTGGTTGGAGGTGTTGTGCTGTGTTTGGTTGGAGGTGGTGCTGTGTTTGTTGAGGTGTGTTGTGTGCTGTGTTTGGTTGGAGGTGTGTTGTGCTGTGTTTGGTTGGAGGTGTGTTGTGCTGTGTTTGTGGAGGTGTGTTGTGCTATGTTTGGTTGGAGGTGTGTTGTGCTGTGTTTGGCTGGAGGTGTGTTGTGCTGGTTTGGCTGGAGGTGTGCGTTGTGTTTGGTTGGAGGTGTGCTGTGCTGTGTTTGGTTGGAGGTGTGTTGTGCTGTGTTTGGAGGTTGTGCTGGTTTGGTTGGAGGTGTGGTTATGTTTGGTTGAGGTGGTTGTGCTGTGTTTGGCTGGAGGTGTGTTGTTGTGTTTGGTTGGAGGTGTGTCTGTGCTGTGTTTGGTTGGTGGTGTTCTGTGTTTGGCTGGAGGTGTGTTGTGCTGTGTTTGGCTGGGAGGTGTGGTGTTCTGTGTTTGGCTGGGAGGTGTTCGCTGTGTTTGGCTGGAGGTGTGTTGTGCTGTGTTTGGCTGAGGTGTGTTGTTGTGTTTGGTTGGTGGTGTCTGTGTTTGGCTGGAGGTGTGTTGTGCTGTGTTTGGCTGAGGTGTGTTGTGCTGTGTTTGGTTGAGGTGTGTTGTGCTGTGTTTGGCGGAGGTGTGTTGTGCTGTGTTTGGCTGGAGGTGTGTTGTGCTGTGTTGGTTGGAGGTGTGTTGGTGTTTGCTGGAGGTCGTTGTGCTTTGGAGGTGTGTTGTGCTGTGTTTGGTTGGTGGTGTCTGTGGTTTGGCTGAGGTGTGTTGTTGTGTTTGGCTGGAGGTGTGTTGCTGTGTTTGGCTGAGGTGTGTTGTGCTGTGTTTGGTTGGAGGTGTGCTGTGCTGTGTTTGGTTGGAGGTGTGTTGTGCTGTGTTTGTCGAGGTGTGTGTTGTGCTGTGTTTGGTTGAGGTGTGTTGTGCTATGTTTGGTTGAGGTGTGCTGTTGTGTTTGGCTGGAGGTGTGTTGTGCTGTGTTTGGCTGGAGGTGTGTTGTGCTGTGTTTGGCTGGAGGTGTTAGCTGTTTGGTTGGAGGTGTGTTGTGCTATGTTTGGTTGGTGTACTGCTGTGTTTGGCTGAGTGTGTGTGTTGTGTTTGGTTGGAGGTTGTGCTGTGTTTGGCTGGTGTGGTGTTCTGTGTTTGCGGAGGTGTGGCTGTGTTTGGTTGGTGGTGTTCTGTGTTTGGCTGAGGTGTGTTGTGCTGTGTTTGGCTGGAGGTGTGTTGTGCTGTGTTTGGCTGGAGGTGTGTTGTGCTGTGTTTGGCTGAGGTGTGGTGTTCTGTGTTTGGCTGAGGTGTGTTGTGCTGTGTTTGGCTGGAGGTGTACAGTTGCGTTTGGTTGGAGGTGTTGTGCTGTGTTTGGCTGGAGGTGTGTTGTGCTGTGTTTGGCTGAGGGGTTGTGTTGTGTTTGGTTGGAGGTGTGTGTTGTGCTGTGTTTGCTGGGTGTGTTTGTTGTGTTTCTGGAGGTGTGTTGTTGTGTTTGGTTGGTGTGGTGTTCTGTGTTTGAGCTGGAGGTGTGTTGCTGTGTTTGGCTGGAGTGTATTGTTGTGTTTGGGGATGTGTGTTGTGCTGTGTTTGGTTGGAGGTGTGCTGTGTTGCTGCGTGTTGTGTGGGTGTGGATGAGTGATTGTATGGTGGTATGGTCATGGTGATGGTAGTGGTGTAATGGTAGTAATGTGATGGTAATGGTGGTATGGTGATGGTGGGGTAGTATGGTGATGGTGATAATTGGTGTGGTGGTGGTGTAGTATGGTGATGGTAATGGTAGTGTGGTGATTAATTAGGTGTGTGGTGGTGGTGGTGTGGTGATGGTAGTATGGTGATGGTGTGGTGGTATGGTGGTGATGGTGGTATGGTGGAGTGTTATTGGTTGTAATTTGATGGTAGTGTGGTAATGGTGGTATGGTGATGGTAATGGTGGTATGGTGGGTAATGGTAATATGGTGATGGTGGTGGTAGTGTGGTGGTATGGTGGAGTGGTAATGGTAGTATGGTGATGGTAATGGTGGTGTATGGTGATGGTAATGGTAATATGGTGATGGTAGTGTGGTAATGGTAGTATGGTGATGGTAATGGTAGTATGGTGATGGTAATGGTAATATGGTGATGGTAGTGTGGTAATGGTAGTATGGTGATGGTAGTGTGGTAATGGTGGTGTGGTAATGGTAGTATGGTAATGGTGGTGTGGTAATGGTAATATGGTGATGGTAATGGTAGTATGGTAATGGTAGTACGGTGATGGTAATGGTGATAATGGTGGTGTGGTAATGGCATTTTTTCCGGTCTCGATCTAGGATTCTTGCCCGGGACCCTTCGAGGCCAAAAATTTATATATTAATTTTGAGGTGTGTTGGGAAGGGAGGAGGGAGAGAGGGTGGGAGGGAGGATGGGAAGGGAGAGAAGAAGGGAAGGAAAGAGGCAGAGAGACGGTGATTGAAGGAGAGTAGGAAGGAGGGAGAGAAGGCAGAGAGGGAGGATGCGGAAGAGGCAGGCAGGGAGGGAGGGAAGGAAGGAGGGAAGGAGGCAGAGAGACGGTGAATGGAAGAAGTAGGGAGAGAGAGAGAGGGAAGGAGGCAAGAGGCAGACGGGGGCCAGAAAGGAAAGGAGGGGGGGGAGGAGGTGAGAAGGAGGTGGGAGAGGCGGAGAAGGAGGGAGGGAAGGACGGAAGGAGGCACTCTACGATCTCAGGAAATAATCAATTATAAGAGAGAAAAGACGAGAGTTGGGGGTGACATATTTTAGTGGTGCAGAGAGAGAGAGAGAGAGAGAGAGAGAGAGAGAGAGAGAGAGTATATGGAAAATTTGAGAGATAGGGAAAGAGAGAGAGGAAGGCAGAAATGAGGGAGAGGGAAGGAAATTAGGAGGGAATGAAGGACAGGAGGGAGGATGGAAGAAAGGAAAGGGAAGGAGAGGAGGATGGAGGAGGATAGGGAAAGATGGCAGCAGGTCTGGAGAGAGGAAGGAAGGCAGGCAGAAAGGAAGGAGGAAAGAGAGGGAGGCAGAGCAGAAGGGATGGAGGAAGGAAGGAAGAGAGGGCAGAAGGGTTGGATAAAATATGGGAGGGGGGCAGGAGGGAGGGAGGGAGGGAGCTTGCGTGTGTCTGAAGATTGTAAAAGTTTGTCAGTCGTAAAATAAATCTTCAGTTTTCTTTCTTCAAATTTGTTCTCGTACACATTTTTGCAATTTACTAATTACGGTTTTTCATGTCACTTCAGTCACGACCTAACTTAACCTAACAACATAACATAACATAATTTAACCTAAACATAACATAATATTGAGAGGGAGAGAGGCTGACGTTGTGCTGGGCAAGGACCAATCACTGCACATTATGACCTCATCAGCGTGGGTTCTGCCCAGGCACTAGGGGAGAGGGTCCAACTAGCCTCGTTACTCTCTACCCTCCGTTACGTAATTGCTCCCCTTTATACCTCAGAGAGAGAGAGAGAGAGAGAGAGAGAGAGAGAGAGAGAGAGAGAGAGAGAGAGAGAGAGGCTGATATTTAAGAATAAGAGAGACATAAGGAGTATTGTGACATAAACAAACAAAACTTAAAAAAGGGGGGAGAGGCATACAGACAGACAGAAAGACACACGAAAAAGAGAGAGAGAGAGCGAGAGACAAAGATAGTTAATAACGGTAATTACTGAATAAACTTGTGCAGTAATAAGGTGAAGGTGAAGTTAATGGTTGTTTATGATGGCACCTGTTACACTGAGGGTGGTTATGTCCTGCCTCAAGGCGCCGAGGTCAACGTGAGGCACCGTGTGTAAGTAAACAGGTTGGCACCGTGAGTAAACAGGTTGGCACCGCGAGTAAACAGGTTGGCACCGTGAGTAAACAGGTTGGCACCGCGAGTAAACAGGTTGGCACCGCGAGTAAACAGGTTGGCACCGCGAGTAAACAGGTTGGCACCGTGAGTAAAAACAGGTTGGCACTGTGAGAAGCAGGTTGGCACCGTGAGCAAACAGGTTGGCACCATGAGGCAAAACAGGTTGGCACTGTGAGTAAAAACAGGTTGGCACTGTGAGTAAACAGGTTGGCAACTGCAGCAAAACAGGTTGGCACTGTGAGTAAAACAGGTTGGCACCGTGAGTAAGCAGGTTGGCACCGTGAGTAAACAGGCTACACCGTGAGTAAGCAGGTTGGCACTGTGAGCAAAACAGGTTACACTGTGAGTAAACAGGTTGGCACCGTGAGTAAGCAGGTTGGCACTGTGAGTAAAACAGGCTGGCACCGTGAGTAAAACAGGTTGGCACCGTGAGTAAACAGGTTGGCACTGCAGAGTAAAACAGGTTGGCACCGCGAGTAAACAGGTTGGCACCGCGAGTAAACAGGTTGGCACCGTGAGTAAACAGGTTGGCACCGCGAGTAAACAGGTTGGCACCGTGAGTAAACAGGTTGGCACCGCGAGTAAACAGGTTGGCACCGTGAGTAAACAGAATGGCACCGCGAGTAAACAGAATGGCACCGCGAGTACTTCAACACATGAGAACATGAAGGATGTACTCACTTGCTGACGCTAGGATGAGGCAGGTGAGTAGGCCAGGCCGGTGCCTCCTCATCCTGCTGGGGTTAGGATGGCCACGACCTGTAGGATGTATTCTCCAGGGGTGCTACAGGAGGCAAGGTCCGGGTTCCTGTGGTGGGTAGGCTTCCGTGGGACCTCCGGTTATGAAGCTTCTTGTGTCTTTCAGGATAGTTAATACTCACGGGGTCCTGCAGTAGACCTTCAGGAGACAGGGTGCAGGTTCCTCTAGGCTGCTTACCTCGTCACGTGTCCGACCTGAAGAAGAAACAACAATTTATTAGTCTCTCAGGGGCGTAGTGAGGGCGTCTGGATCCCTGGGGTGAAGCTCAGTTTGGCCTGCCCCCTTGCCCCTCCCCTTGCCCCTCCCCATTACGAAAATAAATCTTCATAAAATATTTCAAACAAGGTGGATGTTAAAACGATCATATTCTTATTCAATGTGCATCTTTCTGGTCTCGGCGGTAGGAAGCTGATCAATGATGTTATAAAAGTTAGTGTTTTTCAAGTGTTTTCCTTTCTGTACTAAGATGGCTGGTGACTGAGGCGCTCCTCCCCCAGTGACGGCCTCTAGTAAGAGAGAATAAGCTTCACTTGACTGAATGACCGTCCACAGTACTTGTGGTACTTTTTGGTGCACCAACTGTGAGCATTATCTGTAGTGCAACACGTAAATTAGGGAATACATCCTCACCATATGAACCAATGGAGTGTATGGTGTAGTATCATAGCGGGTTGTAAGAAGCTTCCTAGAGTCACACATCTCGTTCAGGTCAGTGTCCACCATTGGGCTCCCTGTGTCAAGTATGAAGCCAAACTTGGTGTTGAGTTTCTTGAATCGTTGCATTATTTCTTGCTGGAGGCGATCTACTATGTTTATCATGACTCAATATTTTCTTACTCATTCTTATCCTCCTCTCAGCCTCTACTCCACCTGTCTTCTATGGAACCTTGGCACAGTTCATCACGAGTTTGGGAAGTATTTTAACAGCAGGGCCTCAATATCTTTATATGTATCTTGGTAGTTAATACTGGGATGTTGTAGCCGTTTATGTACACGATCTGTTATCATCAGTGTGCAGCACCAATGTGTAAGGAGAGTGTAAGAGTGCTCTGTTCAGCACCCCCCTCCTGTGTTTCTAAGGTATCACTCTGGTCCGCAGAGAGTTTTCAGTAATCTCTCCAATATATGGCCGCACATTACAGCTGCCTTGTCATAACACCGAGCCCGACAGACATCTAGAGAGAGTTCACCAGATTCAAGTTTATCTACAGCAGCTGCATCTTTACCATGAACTTCCATTAACTTCTCTAATAGTGATTTTCTTGCTGGCAGAATCCTCATCAACAAACCTGATGATCTGTGACATTTATTCTCTGTCCAACATCAGGAGTGAATCTTGAGCAAGACGGTTTAACCCCTTGAGTACGCTGATTTAACCTCTTGAGTACACCGATTTAACCCCCGATTAAGATGATTTAACCCCTCATTAATTGTACTCAGTTGAATCATCATAGTACTCAAAAGGTTAGATTTACCACGTTGTAGCTTTAATTGTACTCGGGTGATTATCATAGTTCCTGTACTCAAAAGGGACAAACCCACCATATTAAATCACCTTTTGACGATTAATATCATTACTTAATCTGATAATCTCCAAAATACTTCCCACCAAAACGAGAATATCGACTCATTTAACCTTATTTAATATTCCTTCTATTTCCAGTTTGTGTTATGTAAAATATAATTCACTTTGTAGTTATATTACTTTTCTTAATTCCATAATGTTTGTCTCTTTCTTTTTTTTGTTTTTTTTTTTGGGGTGTCCGCCAGCTGGGAGTGTGTGATAATTTTTACAATAGGCGAGGCATTATGTCTGGCCTGTCCCCGGGAGAATGGTGTACTGTGTGTAGTTCCCGGAATTATTTTATTAAACAGGGTCTGGCGTTGTGTTGTCGCTTATATGAACTGAATTTATTAAACTCAGAGGTAAATACAGAGGTGTGTGTGTGTGTGTGTGTGTGTGTGTGTGTGTGTGTGTGTGTGTGTGTGTGTGTGTGTGTGTGTGTGTGTGTGTGTCAAGGTGCATTATGGAAGGTGAATAATGTCCTGTGTTAAGAGCTAAAGGTAAATATTTTAAGTGTTACCAGGGTGAAAATTATTCGCTCTTATTAGGGTTATATTTTACTGGTTTGCCACAGTGAAAATGTTACAATGTTACCAGTGTTACTAATGTTACCAGTGATACCAATGTTACAAGTGATACCAATGTTACCATGTCATAACGAATACAATGTGCACTGATATTAGGGGAAAATTTTATAATACTACTCTGGTTACAATGTATAATAATAACTGAGTTACAATGTACAGTTTTACCTGGGTTACAATGTACAGTGTTACCCGGGTTACAATGTACAGTATTCCCTGGGTTACAAGGTACAATGCTACCTTAATTGTGATGTACAATGGTATCAGGTTACAATGTACAATATTCCCTTGATCACGAGGTATTATACTACGTAGTTACAATATACGCAATGCTATGTTACATTGTACACAACACCAGGTTACAATGTACTCAATACCAGATTACAAGTACTCATCATCGGATTAGAATAAACTCAACACCAGATTACAATGTACTCAAGTTACTCAACATCAGATTACAATGTATTCAACACCATGTTACACTATTCTCACCAAGTTACGAGGTACACAACAGATTACAAACTACTCAACACCAGATCACATTGTACTCAACACCAGATTACATTGTACTCAGCACCAGATTACAATGTACTCAGGTTACTCAACATCAGATTACAATGTACTCAAGTTACTCAACACCAGATTACAATGTACTCAGGTTACTCAACATCAGATTACAATGTACTCAAGTTACTCAACACCAGATTACAATGTACTCAACACTTTACACCATCGAGCTACAAGAGGTAATCATTTAAAACATAAGTACCCTGGAATCTAACAGTTAAATTCCACCCCCCCGCCCCCAAATTATTACCTGTAATTAACCGTAGCCAAGTGTAAACATTAGCAGTATGTTAATCAGTGTTATAACAGGTCACGGTAGTTTAAGACAAGTGTAACAATGTAGTTTGGATCTTAATTACAGTACCTCAGCCTTAACTACAGTAAGTTTGGATGGGAGGATTAATTCGGCTGGGTGTAAGAGTATGTGTCTGTCTGTCTGTCTGTCTGTCTGTCTGTCTGTGTGTGTGTGTGTGTCTGTGTCTGTGTGTGTGTGTGTGTGTGTGTTTGGGAGTGATAAGGTTTGAAAGGGGTGTGACTGGTGGTTGGTTGGGTGGTGGTAGTGGTCATGGTGGTGGTAGTCGTTGGTGGTCGTAACAATGGTAGAGTAATGGTGGTGATGACAATGGTATTGATGCCTGACATCCACACCATTCCTCTCTCTCTCTCTCTCTCTCTCTCTTCTCTTTATTGCTATTAAGAGATAGAGGTCGATAATTAAGGGGGTAGGTATGGATAATTATGGGATAGGGATGGATAATTATGGGATAGGGATGGATAATTATGGGATAGGGATGGATAAATATAGGATAGGATGGATAATTATGGGATAGGGATGGATAATTATGGGATAGGGATGGATAATTATGGGATAGGGATGGATAATTATGGGATAGGAATGGACTCTTGGTTATTATTATTATACACACACACACACACACACACACACACACACACACACACACACACACACCATGACAGACACAATGAGTTGATATTAAATTTATGGTTAGTTCAGTAACGAGGAAACACCATTTTGATGAGTAATAATTTCCCAGCAGAACACAGTGGCCACCAGGGCGTCCACTTTGTGCTGGGTGTCCACTTAGTACTGGGTGTCCACTTTATACTGGTTGTCCACTTTGTACTGGGTGTCCTCTTTGTGCAGGGTGTCCTCTTTGTGCAGGGTGTCCACTTAGTACTGGGTGTCCTTGTTGCCTGGGTGTCCACTTCGTACTGGGTGTCCATCTTGCTGGGTGTCCCTTGTACTGGGTGTCCAATTTGTACTGGGTGTCCACTTTGTACTGGGTGTCCACTTTATACTGGTTGTCCACTGTACTGGGTGTCCTCTTTGTGCAGGGTGTCCTCTTTGTGCAGGGTGTCCACTTAGTACTGGGTGTCCACTTAGTACTGGGTGTCCACTTCGTACTGGGTGTCCACTTTGTACTGGGTGTCCACCTTGTACTGGGTGTCCACTGTACTGGGTGTCCACTTTGTACTGGGTGTCCACTATGCCGGGTGTTCACTGTGCTGGTGTCACTTTGTACTGGGTGTCCACCTTGTACTGGTGTCCACTTTGTACTGGGTGTCACTTCGTACTGGGTGTCCACTTCGTACTGGGTGTGTCCTTTGTACTGGGTGTCCACTTAGTACTGGGTGTTCACTGGGTGTCCACTTTGGGTGTCCTTAGTACTGGTGTCCACTTTGTACTGGGTGTCCACTTTATGCCAGGTGTCCACTTTGTACTGGGTGTCCACTTTGTACTGGGTGTCACTTTATGCCGGGTGTCCACTTTGTACTGGGTGTCCACTTTGCTGGGTGTCCCTTTGTACTGGTGTCCACTTTGTGCAGGGTTAACCAGTCAGCTAGCTAATCAACCAGCCACTCAACCAGTTAACCAGTCAGCCACTCAACCAGTTAACCAGTCAGCCAAACAACCAGTTAACCAGTCAGGCAAGCAACCAGTTAACCAGTCAGCCATTCAACCAGTTAACCAGTCAGCCATTCAACCAGTTAACCAGTCAGCCACTCAACTAGTTAACCAGTCAGCCATTCAACCAGTTAACCAGTCAGCCACTCAACCAGTTAACCAGTCAGCCACTCAACCAGTTAACCAGTCGCCAAGCAACCGGTTAACCAGTCAGCCACTCAACCAGTTAACCAGTCAGTCACTCAACCAGTTAACCAGTCAGCCTCAACTAGTTAACCAGTCAGTCATTCAACCAGTTAACCAGTCAGCCACTCAACTAGTTAACCAGTCAGTCACAACCAGTTAACAGTCAGCCACTCAACTAGTTAACCAGTCAGCCATTCAACCAGGTTAACCAGTCAGCCATTCAACACGGTTAACCAGTCAGCCACTCAACTAGTTAACCAGTCAGTCATTCAACCAGTTAACCAGTCAGCCACCAACTAGTTAACCAGTCAGCCATTCAGCAGTTAACCAGTCAGCCACTCAACTAGTTAACCAGTCAGCCATTCA